CACACACACACACACACAGCAGTGTATAATGGCGCTCCCTGTCGGGCCGCATAAATCTGCAAGGGCCCAATTAAAGATCCCCTTTAGCGTGTTCACCACCAGCACATGCGTGTAAATATGGACACAAAACAACAAAACACACACACACACACACACACACACACACACACACACACACACACAGACACACACACACAAATGGCTTGCTTTACACTCCTTTTGTATTTGAAATACAATTTGACTTTTTTTTATTAAGTGAAAACATTTGGTGAAACGTGTTTGGACGAGCAACGTCACGTGGACAAATCCCTACCCTAAATTTACAAGATGATAAAAAAAAAAAAAAAAAAGGATGGTCTACCAGAAGTTGTCTTCTGGGGAAGGTGAAAAAAAATAGAGGTCGTTAAAATAGGTGTGCCATTTTCATATGGTTCAATAAATAACGGTAAAGATACTTTAGATATTTTTTTTTTTTGCCACCTTGGTTTCATGTGTAAATGTGTCTGGTGCTGAAACAGCCAGTCACGCCCTATTTGCAAAAACCTAGAGATGATTTGAAATTGTAGGAATTCCGAGGAAACGCGATTCTTGTGAACAAATGGTGGCGGGGGGGGGCTGAGAAACACTTCGCGCATGAGGGTGAAGACAAAAGTGCCGAAAAACACGAGCACCTTCATCAAGGTTTCCCGGCGTGGTCCTTGAAAATTCTGCAGATACAAACGACTTCGACGAAGCTATTTGGGAAAGCCAGGAAACTCACGTGCGCAAAAAAAAAAAATCGCAATGATGAATAATTGACAAAATGAGCACGTGACTTTTCTGTCGGCTATTGCGTGAAAGCAAAGCGGCTCCTTCGTCGCGTCACTCGGGCTCACAGGTTCCTCTGGTGTATCGCAACAACATCACGAGGCGCTCGACGAAGAGTAAAGACATTTGGGCATTCAAACTTTGAGGGGAAAAAAAATTGGATACTTTCAAATATTTTTGTCTTTTTACAAACAATTATAACTCCGATAACAACTGTCAATAATTCAAATAATATTCATGTCCGCAAATAAATTGGTTTTCAAAGTAGAAATGCTTTTACCGTTGCAGGTTAAATTACAAAAAAAAAAAAAAAAAAAAAAAAAGATCCATCTCATGTCGCAGTAAAAAAATATAATACAATAAAAAAATGAAAATAGACGATACCGTCCATTCTAAAAAAAGATGTCACGTGATGCAAATTTGTCATGAAATCATTTTTTTTCCTGATTAAAAAGGAGCCGGGCGCACGTCGGGAGCGTCTCGACGAGCGGCGAACAAAGGAATAATAATTAGACGGGTATGTCGGCGTTGACGGCGCTTGAGCTTATTTTTGGTGTCATGCGTTCGGGCGAGGGGGCGGTCGGCCAGCCGCCACCGGTCATTGTCCATAGCGCTCGCCATCAAAGGGGCGGCGGCCTTGTCAGCTTTTCCACTCCAATCTCCACGCTGGCCGCTCGCAAAGTGACTGCGTCGTTCCGGCCTTTTCCTTCACATGACCAAGAAGAAACAACAAGCGACCCCCCCCTCGAGCCGCACAACCACCCTCCCCTTTGGGATCGGGGCGGAGGCACGCCGAGGAAAAATAGGCTACATCATTTCTGGAAATGAACAATACTTATCCGTCCGTCGCATCTGTTACTTTGGGTTTGCGTTTGGGCTGTGGATGTGCTTGACGACAAGGCGTGTCCCCCTTTTTTTTTTTTTTGTCTCGTCCGTTATCAGTCTTTTGGACTCGGCCAAAGTTGAGCTTAGACAAGTGGCGTTTTCTGTGGGATAGGAACTTTTCAAAGCTTTCCTCAGATTGAAATAAAAGTCCAATTTTCATCCTCAAAAGACTGTCCTGTCTTCAACAACCAACAAGAGTCCACAAGCTTAAAATAATGCCCAAAATGTTTTGTAAATAATTATAAAAGTCAAAATGTTTGTCGTAAAAGTTGTACTCCCCCCCCAAAAAAAATTCTATAAACAAGATTGTGACTTGTATATATATATATATATAAAAATATAGAATAAAAAAATATATAGTGTAGTGCAACTGCAGGTAAGACTCATTTTTCTCTCTCTCTCACTTGCCCCCGTTTTTTGGCAACGGGTCACTTCACAGTCGTCAAATTATTTTAATGAACATTTCTGTTCTTTGTTATCCTTAAAAAATAAATAAAATCAAAAAAAGTTCATGCCTTGCTGAGCACCAGCACGTGTCAGGCAAACTCGAGGCATCAATCCTTCACAACCCCAACCGTCCGTCCGTCCGACCGTCCGTCCGTCCGTCCGTCCGTCCGTCGCCTGCTCCCTCCGCCCAGGCAGGTCGGCCCCGGCGGCTGAAATATGCTCTATTAATTTCCTGGCGACAAACGGAGAGGCCAAACATGTTGTCTTCAAATATACAGCAGCATTCAAACATAAATACTCAGAATCATGTCATTAAATGATTTCATTTTTTTTTCGTAATTTGTTGAATAATGATAAATACCGGGTGTAAAAATATTTCATTTTATGGATTGTACAGAAATAAAATCAAATACATTAAATAAAGGTATATTTATTTCCAAAATATTTTTATAGTATAAAAGTCTTCATATATAAAACAAAAAAAAAAAGTTTCAAACACTGATTATAATATCCGATAATAACAGCGCATGCTCATTTGGTTGCCAACTGAAGGATGTGGAAGTTGACTTCAAGTGTGCTAAAGCGAATACATTCAAGATTTCAATATCTTTGGTGGCGAAAATTTATCAAGGCAAAAATCTGTACAAAGTGCAACATTTCTTTGAAATGACGTGAAATTATTTTTGGACGATGGGGAAAAAAAAACAAAAAAAAAAAAAACAAAGAAGGCTAATAATAAGACGGGTACGGTCGTGGCCCCCTGCGGCAGAGCGGGGGCTACGCTCTATTAACTCCCTGACGACAGGCGGGCGGGAAGGTATCTTGGGAACGGCAAAGTCTCGCCGGGGTCCGAAAACCTCGGGGGCGTCCGTCTTGTCGCCCACCCGTCACGTGTTAAGGGGAAAAAAAAAAAAAAAAAAAAAATCACAAAAAAAAAAAAAAAACGGACGGTTGGGCGAGTTCCACGTTGACGAGACGTCGCCGAGAGGAAGATGAGCGGGATTGGCAGGAGGATCCGCCCCCTGACCCACTACCGCCCGACTCCCCACGCCCCGCCGGGATTGTTCTGACAAACTCTTCTTTTGTTTTCCTTCAATATGCTTGCGTTGCATTCAGTGTGAATGATTGTGGGAAAATATAAAAATTTCAATAATCATCATCGTAAAAGGGGCTGGAAGAATGTTGAAGTCAAAATAAATACAGGAAAAAATGTGAGAAATTCTTCTCTGATAGGTGGCGGCGGGCGTCTGGACGTCATCAGCGTGGTCCTCTAACGCCGGACGCGGCTGAAATTTACACAGCGACCCTGAAGGCAACACAAACAAAATAATATCTTAGGAAGAATACACAAAAATCTTTGTGAGTGTGATTTCAATGTTACGATCACATGGAATTGGGGAAAAAAAAGTCTACAATAAAAATATTGAATTATCATTGCAAACAATGAAAAAAAAAAAACCATCCTGCCTGTATTGAAAAACTGATATAAAAACATGACTCATTGTGTATATTAAATACAAAAAAAACAATGCGGCTATCATAAAGTAATCACGCAATTTTATAAACAAACACAGAGCATCGTTCTAAAACAAATTTTAAAAAATGAATCTTCTCAATCATATATACTCATTGTGTCCACATGATTATTATTCCGACTATTATTATCATCATACATCCAATACTACATGATGAAGATGTCCGCATCATTGGTTAGAATCCAAATAAAGTAGTACAAATGAATCATGTCTCTCGGCTACAAAACAATTTCAAAATAAAGCTCCGTCGCCCTTTAAAAAAAAGGCGACCAAAGAATGAACAAAGGATGTCTGCAATCCAGTCGAACAAATCAAGCCGCTCGGATAGAGAAATCACTCAAGGTCATACGTGAATCATTTCCGATGCCCGATATGCAAACCCCAAATACAAGAGGACATTGGCTTGAGAATGGCTTTTTTTTTTTTTAAAGCAACTTGAGCCTGAATCAAAACTCCAACTGAAATATCCATCATGTTGAGAATACATTTGGACAACAGCTGGTGCAAATATGGCATCATAACGTCTTCCTTGTAGCGCGTGAATGTGGGGACGCGTGCGTGCGTGCGCGCGCCAACAGTTGCCGCGGCGACACCAAGAGGGAGCTCTCACACAGCGAATCCCTCATCAGCACACCCACAGACAGAAACTAGGAGCGGACGTGCTGAAAGCAGAAAAATCAAACGGCGCGCTGTCGCGCAGCGCTTCACATCGTTGAGCTCATGTGGAGTCAATTCCGGTGGTGCCAAGTAACCAAGTACAAATACTTTGTTACACTGCTTTAAAGGGGAACTAGATTTTTTTTTTTTTGCACAATAAATGAAAGTTGTGCATCATGTAAAAAACAAAGAATAATAAAATAATCATAAAAAATGATGGTCATTTCACTAAGATCGGCATAGTGAGCGACCGCCCGACTGGTGAACGCTTTTTCTTGGCAATTCACATTTACGCAAAACTATCGGAAAGCCTCATGGCCCGAGGGGGCGAATGACGAGGACGCTGCATCGACGCATATCTATCGATTTCGCTATCTACACACATAGATGCAAACGGTTGAGGTCCCTCTTAGCCAATGGGATGCCACGAAGATGCAAGGTAATAGCCAATGGCAGAGCAGCTCCAAGTATGTTGCGTTCAGGAAACTCGGAGCTGCGAGTAGCGGCCCATACTGTATTTTGACCTTTCGTATCTTGAAATTTCTTTCGTAAACAAGAAGCAATATTTTCCTGTCGAGGCGTTTCGTAACTTGAAAATTTCGTATGAAGAGACGTTCGTAAGTAGAGCGACCACTGTACCTATGATGGCCGTGGCTCATTGAAAACTACAAATCACAGAAAAGATTTCAGTCACTCGGAGGAAGTCAAGCAGCCAAAAATAAATTCAACAGAAAACATTTTTAAATATTTACAACTACAAGTACATCAAAAGGTTTTGATGACACACTGAGTTGCTAAATAACAGCGTGCAAAATGATGCGGAGGGCATCCAATCGCACACCACATTTGCGTCAAATTCTTTCTTCACTTCCTTTGTTACTTTCCTCGCACGCTTTGGTCAATAACGAGCAAATCCCGCCCGCTCTACAAATCAAAGAAAAAGTACAAATGTAAATTAGCCGGCCATGTGTTGCTTGCCGCGCTGACAGCTTGATGGCGACTTAGACGCCATCCAAAATGTTTTTTTTTGTGTGTTTTTTTTCTTATTGGCTTGTCAAGTGGAACTGATGGATGCTTTACTTCCACTGAAGAGATCGCAGAAGCAAAGTGCGACGGAATCACGGAGGAACAATCGTCCATCTGTGGCGTGGAAAAAGTCGACGCGTAATCCAGTGGCAAGATGTTTCTTTTGCGGCGAGAAGATGCCGGCTTTACCAAGTACCGCGGATACTTTTTCAGCTTCACTAATCCGGGGTTTAGCGAGTCCGACTGCAACGTTGTGACTCAACGTGCTTCTCTTTTCACAAACAGTCTCTTTGCCGCATTATCGAGCAACATGCTCCGAGTTTACGACCGTTTCTGATATCAAAAAGGACCGACGTCGACCATTTCGGTTGCAAGCAGACGTTTCGGGCTCATTTCCGGTGGTTCTTCGAAAGGCGAAGGAACTCAACTACAAGATTTTTTTTTTCTTTTTGAAATTCAGCCCTCATAGCAACATAAAATTTGGCTGATTTGTCCTTCATGAGTGGACCCACAAAAAAATAAATAAATAAAAATTCTCAAGAGGGCAACAGAAATTTGGTAGGCACGTCAATTTTGAGCAGTCTCAAAAAGACTGTTTGCTTCCGAGAGTTTGCACATGTCATGAAGATTGTTTTTGTCTAGTTGGTTTTTTTTGGTCAAGATTTGTTGAAAGCTGCAAAAACAACAAACCGTCGCAAACCATTTTTCTTGCCTCAAAGACATTTTGAACATGTTAGAAAATTGATGGCGACAAGTAAAACGATTTGCAACGATTAAAACTATTTGTCAATACCCGGCGAACGTCACTGTAACCTTTAACGAATCCTGACAAAATAAAACCCCCCCAAAAAAAACAGTCCCTACATTCGCTAACGCTCGCCGCTGAGTGAGATACCAGCTTGAGTGTTTCTCACGAGTCGACCAGCAAAAAGTTTCAGTAATCCACGTCTGAAGAAACACAACATGGCTGCCGTTTGGGTTGAAATGCATCAATTGAGAGCTGTTAATGGTCATTAAAAGTAGAAATTGAAGGCATCTGCAATGGACAGAGTGTGTGAGCAATCCACCCTCGTCCACAAGACTGCTGGCCATCTTGACGCTAGCCCCTCAAACACACACTGCCCACACAGCGCTGCCATCTGGCCTGCTGGGAAATGGCAGCCACCCGAGACTCGGCCAAAAGCGTGATGATCACCGACCACTCCGACGTTTCTTCTTTTTCGTTGCCGCACGTGGACGATATCGGTGACGTAAACAACAAATCCTGGAATGCTAACATGCTAATGGGAAAATGTGCTATCATGAAACTGACAACCTGACCAGAGCAAGGGCCGAAGCTGATCGATAATGATTCCAAATCATGCTGGGAGAATTGACAAAATGCTCACCAGCTCACAGTCGACACGCTAACCTATCGTAATCTGCCAACAAAAAGAATGAAGCACGAACAGTTTGGCCCACACCATGAAGTCAGGTAAAATGCTAACATACCAAAAGTTGAAAACAACCTGAATAGCCCAAAAAAATAATTTTATTTTTTTTTTTTTAAAAAGTGCTGAGGCAGATTAATAAGGTTTTGACTCATAACCCCGGAGTCAAGTCCTATTTCCAATGAGAAGTGATAAAATGCTAAAATCGGTCGTGTTCTCAGCAGGAGCGCGCGGCAGTCATTTTTGAGTTAGCGTCACGCTAAACAGATGCATCCACAAACAGATAGCGCTGATGCAGTCTTCCGAGTTTGCGGCACAATTTACGGGAGGGTATTAAACCGTCGGCCTGTGATGCACTGCGTGAGTATCAAACACTCGGAAGGGAGGAAGCTGACAGAGCGGAATGTCGCCGTCGGAGCTGTCATCCGCTGACCCGGGATCAGCGGCGACAGCTTGCTCTAAAAAGTTAGCAAACGGCAGCAGCATATGCAGAGCAGTCTGGAAAAAGCATCTCTGAACTTCAGCGTCTGCACCAATCAATCGCTCATGGTGGACTTTTTTTTTTTCCTTTCTTTTTTTTTTAAAATTAAACCGCAAAAGAAGATGAAGATGTCAGCCATTTTGGATTGAAGCAGCCAGCAAAGGGTTATCTTTGACGTTAACAGTGGCCCCACACAAACTCCTTTTGAAAATTCTGCTCTTGAAACCTGTTGAGTCAAATTCCATCACCTTGTTTTCACCTGCTCAAATTAGCGTCGTCTCACAAAGCTAGTAGCCGTTTGCCGCCATTTTGTCGTGGCTGCAGCTGTTCGGTGCCCATCTGCTTCCCTGGAGTTGAAGCCTCCCTCTCTCTCCATTTTTTTTTTTTTTTGTGTGTGTGTGCGCGCGTGAGTAAGTGCACATCATTGGCAGCTAAGCGCTCTGGGCTCCGTCCCTGCGCTTGTTCCAGAGAAATGCCAATAGTTTTGGCACGGGCGGCAGGGCCCTCGCAGACGGCGCGGGGACGGCACAGATGGCGCTAATGGACGAGCGGGATCCAACCGAGGGGACCCGGGCGGAGCCGCGCCACCGCGCTGTCCGAATCGTTGCGCGGTGTTGAACGCCGCGTAGGGCCAACTCGAATGCTCCCGCAAGCCGCAGAGGCGCGCATCAAGAATTTAAGAGCATGAAATAATCATAAGCGGCGCGCAGTGGGGCCAGCGCAGACAAGAAAAGATTGTTCTGCTTCGTGCAAGTAGCTTAGCGGCTAATTAGCGCTGCACATGCAGTAAGCTAGCTAGCCTGTTAGCAAAAAAAAAAAAGTAGTCAGGGTTCAAAAGTGAAGCAGCTCTACTGGAAACACGAACAAAGGCCTCATTTTATGACGGTAAAACTTCAACACATCAAATAGAAACGATTCATGTCATGAAGGGACGGGGCAAAAAAAGTAAACGACAACAAGGCAACCAATTTTTTTTCTTGCCCTGAAGCTTTGCCAGGTTACACATTCTTGAGCAACCTCTATTGGTACAAAGTTGATACTACAGTCGAATTCATCAGATTCCTCGATCTCGCTTATTTGATCGGGTAGATTTGAAAGCGACAACCCGAGTCATGTTTAACAAAATAAGTAATTTCTTTTTAATTTGAGTTTGATATAATTCATTAGTGTATTCAAT